TGAATACTTAAATACTGTAATTCTGTGCACAGTCAGCGCGAGAAACGAGTGGAGAAAAGGTACTGCTCTCAGAAAACGTACAAATAAAGGTAATTAAACATCTAAAATTATTATTTTGAGCATTGGGATCGCTAGACGAGGGCTTAATGAACTCGTTTTTGTGAAAACTTCAAAATCGACATTTTTCACTTTTTTTGCCTGTAGTTTAAAATTTGCCCGTGCGCATTTCGTCTCATTTTGCCAGCACGGGTCACATATACACACACGTAACAGTGAGGCATGTGGCGCTCGGCTCACCCGTTGAGTGAAAGCCTGGCTTGAGTCTGTATGGGGGTGGCTGTTGAGAAGGTGGAGCTGCTGGTCAAAGTCACAAACGCAGACTGAGGGATCTAAGGGAACAAGCAAAGTGGGACAATCCCTTCAAAAACCAGCCAAACTCATACGTCCTGCTCCATCGCTGACATACGGACCTGTGTAACGTACGGGGCTGGCAACACAGCATAGCCCATGTTCCCCGAGCCGTGGGCGGGGGCGAGCACAGTGCCTGGCGGCAGGCTGGTGAGGTTCGGCTGGATCTGTGGCAGATGTGTGGCTGGCATGATGAGACGCTGGGGCGTCTGACTCGTGGTCACCACCTGGGCTGCTGACATCAAGGGTTTGGGTACAACCTGTGCACAAAAAGATGTTCAAGCATGTGTGAACGGTTTCTGATGAATTACAGATTATGAACACCAAGCCATACAGCAAAAATACCAAAAGCTGCAAGATCATCCATAACAATGGTGTCACTGTTCAACTGTATGTGTGTAGTGAACGAGGTGTTTCACTGTGTACCTGTTTGATGCTCTGTGCTGGGATGATGGGTACAGACATCCGTACTGCAGCATTCATCATTACAGGCTTGGCTTTGTAACAACACAACAATAGATACGTTATTGGATTTTCTTTAATCACTTATGAGCCAATTCATTTTCAATCCTATCATTAATGTCATTCTTAAAAATAGATCGCAATTAGTAGTAATATTCTTATTTTGGTGAACTATAGCTTCGTAACTTTGCAGATATTGTTTATGATCAAACAGCAACATTACACACTAACTAACATTAAAAAAAGTGAAATCGCAATCAACCACCCCTTTAAAGTCTTTTATTTTCTCATCCCTCACATGGGTTGACTGTGATATACCGACCTGATTGGATGGAAGGGTTGGTGTTGGTGCTGCCGCCCGACTGTGCAGTGGTGCTGCCAGTGGTGGCCGTTACCAGTCGCACATAATGGAAGCGGCTGCCTGGCACCTGGATCTGCTGCACGTTGGGAGGTGTTGTGAGGGGGATGATGGTCTTAAACTGGGATGGTCCCACTCCTCCCACTGTCTTTACAGTCTTTACACAGAAATCAGCATTAAATGTAGTCAACATGTACTGTTGCTATACAGAAAATTACACTAATTCATAGTTTTCAGTCACGTGACTGGCTCAAAGGCCTGGCGGGCAAAACATCCATAGAAGTGCAGCACAAGCCCGTCAGTTTTCCATCTGTTTCCAATACACAAATATTTAGATCATCTCTCAAAAGGATAAAAGAAAGATGTGTGTACAAAATGCAAGCTTTGGCCATTTGCAGTACATATAAAACACCCGCCGAAATATTTCAGTTAAAAACTGTGTGACATGCTAAAATGTTTAATGTGAAAACACTTAAAGTACCTTTAAAACAGTGATATTAAAAGATCGAATTCAATACACATTTTTAATGATGTGTGCTTTTATTTTTAGCTCGGAACATGAACGCAATGCTAAACGGTTAAGTGTTTTCTTTAAAACTGTTTTCTATGGGAAAACATTTAATGTGAAACTTTGCACATTGCGTTTATATTCTGGGTTCATCTGCTTGCCTGTGCAATGTCTATACTGAATTTGGCCTTTAAATATCACCGTCTTACTACATTACTACTTAATGCAAACCTCAAAAATAACTGGCGGTCAGTGGAGGAAAGCCTTGTTTTGCCCTCCATGTGGGCGTTCCTGCAAGGGTGTGATGTCACGTGAAAACTATGAATACAGGCTGTTATTACAGGATGGGGCAGTTAAAAATCTATATTAGACTGCATAGCAAACTGGTTCTAGTTGGGCGTACCTGTGCGGTGGACTGGCTGGTTCCGGCTTTAGCTGGAGAGGTGGTGGCAGACTGTTGAACTGTGAGGATCTGCTGGCCCAGAGCCACGTTGAGCGGCAGCGTCACAGACTTCTGGGGTGAGTTTGGAGACTGACTGGCAACCGAAACCACTGTCAGCTACAGACAGGAGAAACATGAGGAAGAGGGTGACATCAGAAACCAGAGTGTGGCCATCATTGAGAAAAAAAATGGCATCACATAGACAGGTGAATGTGGTTGCGATGCCAGTTTTTAGATTTAAAAGATTCAAGACCTTGCTGGGAGACTTAAGAGGCGAGATGGCGACTTTGCTGTTGCCAGATGTATTCTGTGGCACAGTGCTGACGGTCTCACCAATGGTGAGGGTGCGTGGAGGTGTCACTGGAGTACTCTGGGTAACAACTCGCCCTGTGGACAAAAGAAAGGAAGTCAAATTTAGATATCACAGCTGTGCTGTTAAAATATATATCACTCTCGCTCATGTTATATTTTATAAAGACAGACAGAAGAGTACCAGTCACTACAGGAGCCACTGAAGCTGGGCTGGACAGTCCTTTATTGTTCAGGGCTTTTGTGATGATCAGCTTTGTTATCATCGGTCCAGCTGTAGATACTGGGGGCTTCTTAGTGATCTGTGAAGAGAAATGCTATACTTGGCAATTATTTCAGCTGCCCATGATAGACACTGAGCAGGAAATAAGATTGCACTTTAAGCTCATTAAATTAACTAATGCCATTTTGCCATAATAATGCATGCCATTTTTCCTTACAGAAAAAATGAATGTACAAAAATGGCTACAAAAATTAATATATTATTATAAAACAATAACAATGAAATAAAATCAATGATTTTAAAAATACAGTTAAACATAATTTTTCTTTTTTAAATATGACTATAAATATATAATTAATAACATTAATTCATTTTATTAATAATAGCTAATTTTAGTAGTTACTATTAAAGGGATAGTTCACACCAAAAATGAAAATTACCCCATAATTTATTCACCCCCATGCCAACCTAGGTGTATATGACTTTCTTATTTCAGACGAATACAATCGGAGTTATATTAAAAAATGTCCTGGCTTTTCCAAGCTTTATAATGGGAGTGAATGGGTGCTATTTTTCAATATTCCAAAAGACGTCAAATAAAGTGCGTCCACCGATAATAAAAAAAGTGCTCCACACGGCTCCTGCAGCAGATCAATGCGTTTTTGTAAGAAAAATATCCATATTGAAAACTTTATAAACCGTAATCTCTAGCTACCTAGAGTGAAAAGTAACGAATCTCCAGGTGAAAAGTAACGAATGCGGAAGCGCAGCAGAGAGAGCAAAACAAAACACTGGTCACGAATTAGAAGAACAAAACGAAGATTTGTAAAGAAAAATGTCAGAGGATTTTGATATAAACCAAGAGGGGACTGGTTTTCCTTTGCTAAAGTGAGGAAACTTTGCTTCCTTTGCTCCTGTAAACAAATGTTGGTTCTCGCGAGACTAGCATATTCTCGCCGGACCTTATGCTACGCTTACGTCCTACGTCATCCGCCGTATTCACATTCTATTGTGAATGCCGAACAATAGTTTGCGGAAACTAGAGATTACGCTTTATAAAATTTCAAATATCGTTTTTTTTTCCTTACAGAAATGCATTGATTCGCTACAGGAGCCGTGTGGAGCACTTTTTTTTATGATAGATGGATGCGCTTTATTGGACGTCTTTTGGACTATTGAAAAATAACACCCACTCACTGCCATTATAAAGCTTGGAAGAGCCAGGACGTTTTTAAATATAACTCCAATTGGATTCGTCTAAAAGTAGAAAGTCATATACACCTAGGATGGCTTGAGGGTGAGTAAATCATGGGGTAATTTTCATTTTTGGGTGAACTATCTTTTTAATAAAACTAAAATTATATATTTTAAATATTACTATAAATATGATATTATTATAAATAAAGATAATAGCTCATTTTAAAAATACAGTAATAAAAGGCATTTTTCCTAATAGAAAAACATTTACAAATATTTAATAATAACAATAATAATAGCTCATTTAAATTATACTATAAAAAATAACTCATTTTGAAATCTGCTAAATGACTAAATGTAAATGTAAATATATTTGAAATATTATATTATAATGATAATGGCCCATTTTAAAAATAAAGTAATAAAAACAGCCTTTTTCCCGTTTTTTTAAATTACTATAAAGATCATTAATATTAACAATAAATCATTTGAAAATACAGTAATAAAAAGGCATTTTCCTTACAAGTAAAAAACAATGTTATTTATTACAAAAATGGCTTTAATAGTTATAATAATAAACGAAAACATCTTGTTAAAAATACAGTAAAAACTTAATTTTTTAATTTTTTTTAAAGAGACTATAAATAATAATACATTGTAAAAATACAGTAAAAATAAATTTTTACTTTCTAAAAAAAACATTTACAAATATGAAAGTTTTTCTATTCTTTCCATGCTTGAAAGTGTACAAGTGACTAACAACTTGTCGGCTGCAGCAATTACAGATTTTTATATTAGGTAACACCTTGGCAAAAAAAAAAAGAAAATTATGAGAAACTGTGGCCAAGTAAAGACCCTTACAATTAAAGTGTCTCTTTAGGGTCTTAAAATTAAATGGTAATATATATATATATATGCTTCATTTATGCAATGTCTGCATGATCAATGTTTTAAAGGGGTGGTTGATTATGATTTCACTTTTTGATCTTTAGTTAGTGTGTAATGTTGCTGTTAGAGCATAAACAACGTCTGCAAAGTTACAACGCTAAGAGTTCAATGCAAAGGGAGATATTTTCTTTTAAAGAAATCGCTGTTTAAGGACTACAAAAAATGGCTGGTAGGGACTACAATGAGCTTCTTCCTGGGTTTGTGACATCACTAACCCCGATGTTTACATAAACCCCACCCCCGGGAACACGCAACTACCCCTAATGGTAAGGGGGTGTGAGCGAATCACAAACACACTGAGCCCGCTAACCAATCAGAGCCCATTGCGTATTTCTGAGGGAGGGGCTTCATAGAACCAATAACTCAACAGGCCGTTTGGACGAGAATGGAAATGTTTATTTAGTATTTATTCAGGTTTTTTAAGGCATCTAATATTTTGATACTTATTTTCCATGATCTAAATATTCTTAAAAATTAAAAGTTTGTTGTCATTTGGAAGTGTGTAGGCCTTCTTGCATTATTATGCTGTTACATTATGATTATATATTCAGTGGCATGAAATGGTCTTTAAAATGACAATAATATCACTTATCGCAATTATTTCTGGGGCAATATATCGCACAACAAAAAGTTGTTATCGTGACAGGCCTACTACAGAATAAAATCATTCATTTCTTAACTTAACCTAAACTTTTGATCAGTATTTTACTACTTCTAAAAAGGAAAAGGGGAAACATACATACATATAAACACTTTAGAGTATTTTTCCAAATATTTTCCATCAAATATTTCCATGTCATTAGCCTTGCAATAAGTCTAATGACTTTTCTGTGTAAAGAAAACAAGTTAAATATTTAAATATACTCTGATATTACAGGGTTTGTGAGCACCATGTTTTCCTTTTCAACATGTCTAGACAGCATTTATAAAAACTGAAAGGTACTGTAGTGAGAACAAGTGTAAGCAATTTTGTTAATATATATATTTTTAGTTTATATAGTTAGCAGTTTGGAGTGAAACTACTAGCCCAACCCCTCATATCAAGCACAGCTGCATAGTTATGTCACATAATCTGCCACAATCATACTGGCGGGCCATTCAAATTCCCATATCTACTAAACGCTGCACACACTGCGAGCGACGCGACGCGCCCGGACCGCTCCCATTCATTCCAATCACTCTCAGCTGTTGACTGCGTCGCGTCCAGCTGTTTATGCTCAGCTGCTACGCGGCTAACTAGCACAGGAGCTAACACACAATTATATTTGAAGCGCAGCTATCACAGCTAACACGAACTAGCCGGGCAGTGCTTCAGAAACCGGACAGTTATGCGCGCTAAAGAAAAGGTGGCTTAAACAAGCTTTAATGCACGCGTTTAGTAGCTTAAACGTAACATATAACATTTTCACAGCAGTTGAAATAACAGCAGGCCTCTGTGGACATTCCTGACAATAACAATCCGCGTTTAATCCTTTACCTCAACACTTAATTCACTGAAAGCGAACAAGACCCGTCTGTCAGTTTCCCATCAGGCGGAGTTTGTTGATATTCGACGGGCCTGCTTTCCTGCCAATTCTGTTGCCATGGAAATATCTATATTTACAAGGCGCACATATGAGTTATTGCGGACAGGGCCGTGCGCCTGCAGAACAGAGTGCTAACCCGCAGGACTTTTCCTTCACTGAAACAAAACATGTTGATCTTAAAGAGTTATCATTCACTATCGCTGCACATTACATGGAGACTGAATCTGTCAGCCAAAGAAGAAAATGAAGCCACACACACAGGCTTTGACCAACAAAATAAAAATAATAACAGCATTTTCGCTGCAATTGTCCCTTCACTGATATAATTTCAATTAAAATCAATTGGCACAATCACGTCTATATCTAAAAAAAACCCCACAATATTGCAAAATAATGCATGTTAAAGAGTTTGACCCTCAAACGAAAGCCACGTAACTCTCTTAAGGTTTAATGTCAACGAGATTTATATTTAAAAAATCTAGACTAAGTTTAGAAAACTGAAATAAATGCAGTGATAATACTTAATATTTATAATTATTACCATTAGCTGAATCAGTGCATATTGTACAAACATAACATTATAAAATAAACAACCTGAGCGAAAATGTCGAACTTGTACACGGTTTATAACCAAAATACTGCTTAATTAAAAACAACAACAACAACATAAGGGGAACAAGTCACTCTGCCACAAAATTGTCTTTAATTATATATATATATATATATATAAATGAGCATCTCACAGGTTTTCCATGAAACTAATAATGCAGTGAACCGAAGATGATGCAGAATAAGCTGAGGTGAGACTGACAGGCGCGGAGGGCCAGCAGCTCGCTGTCACTGTCTGTCAGGTGGAGCCTCAGCTGCTAACCAGTTAGCCACTACTAACTAACACTATTCAGCTCTGTCTGCCTGTGTTTAATTCATGATGCAGACATTAGCAGCGATAACAGCTGGGTGTGTGACGGACCTCAGCTGATGATATGGCCAAATACTGGACAAGTCAACTAACTTGAATTATACTTGACTGCATTTGGTCCTCACAAAGACACAAATGATACGAGTCAATGTTGTTCTGGGGGTCCTTGAGGATGGTTCTGAATTGGACTGGGGTCCGGTACGCCAAAAGGTTGAGATTGACTGCTGTAGAGGTTCTGTCTGTTCTGTCCACTGATCTATAATCATTATATATAGATCAGTGGTTCTGTCTTTTATGTATCTGTTTAATGTTTGACGCATTATATAATATTAGTTACATTATTGTATATAAAATATAGTAGCACGTTGCAGTAAAATATAGGCTTTTATTTACTTTATATTACTTTTGTGTATATGATAAAAAAATATAGTAGCACGTTACTGCAGTAAAAATTCATACTGTTTATTTATAGGACATTTTATAAATATACCTCATATAGCTTACTCTATATATTATATTTTATTATTTTAAATTATATTATATTATTACATAAGTGTATATTAAAATATAGTAGCATGTATTGTTGAAGTAAAAATTCAGACTTTATTTTTAGCATC